GTATCAAGTCAAGACTTCAGATCCCTACAAAGTGATTCCGTCAGAGTTTCTGTTACTGGTAAGAACTGAAATGTAAAATTTTGTGTTTCGGCTGATTGCTGATGAAATGTTAAAGAACTGTAAGTCTCCATTTCTCAACCGAAAGTTATCCTTTCTGCCTCTGTGCCACTGTCACCTTACTTGAAATGGAATTGAGTTGACAGGAAGCTAAAGTGAAATGAAACTCATACCTTTTCTAAGATGAAACACCCACTATGTTATTTACTTATTTTTCAGTGATCCTGCCAAATCCCACCCTCTCATCAAACACTGGTGGTGCAGTAACCTGGGGTCAAGATGTTAGCATCACTTGTTCAATCCCAACTCAGCATTTAGGTGGAACATTCACTCTGCAGCAGACCTCAGGCTCATTCAGGAAAACCCAAACATCAAGCACAAACTCTGCTGTCTTCAGAATCCCTGAAGTGAATTTCAATAATGAGGGATTGTATCAGTGCCAGTATCAGACAAGGGTTTCAGGGCGAGAATTCAGCTCCCCTCAAAGCAGTTCTGTCAGAATATCTGTTACAGGTAAGAAAAAAGATTTGCCTATTATGATTTAACATTTATGTGGATGAATACTGAAATTCAATTTAGTGAGTTATTCCTCACCAAAAAGAAAATAAACTAATAATGTGTTATATTTCTTCAGTGATCCTCCCAAAGCCCAGTGTCTTCGTGATTCCTGTGGGGAAGGTGACCTGGGGACATCGTGTTAGCATCACTTGTTCAATCTCAACTCAGCATTTAGGTGGAACATTCACTCTGCAGCAGAGCTCAGGCTCATTCAGGAAAAGCCAAACATCGAGCACAAACTCTGTTACCTTTAACATCCCTCAAGTGACCTTCAGTAATGAGGGATCATACCAGTGTCAGTATCAGACAAGGATTTCAAGCCGAGATTTTAGTTCACCCCAGAGCGACCCTGTCAGAGTTTCTGTTACTGGTAAGAGACAAGGATATTTCCTTTTTTGTTACCTTTAAATAAACGTTAAATTGAAAGCAAGCTCAAATATAAACTCATACCTTTCCTCAAAGGAAACACTCACTAAGTTATTTATTTATTTTTCAGTAATCCTTCCAAAGCCCAGCATCTCCAAGAGTCCAGTTGGAGTGTTGACCTGGGGTCAAGATGTTAGCATCACTTGTTCAATCTCAACTCAGCATTTAGGTGGAACATTCACTCTGCAGCAGAGCTCAGGCTCATTCAG